GTGTGGTTCCGAATCAAATCAATGGGCTCCAGGCATGCAATAATTCAAATGCTGTATATCTATCCTCCAGGAATATTTCTTTGCATCCAAAAAGTAATGTCCATCGCTCTCAATCAAAAGCTTTAATCGATATTTTGATTTTTCTGATCATTTCACATCATTGGTTTTTGATAAGTTGCAAAAACAAAAATCTATAACATATATACTACACCCATTAATGAATAACTAAAATTTTATAAGAAATACAGCCGTTATCGATCGGACCGAAATGAAGTCATGGCTTCCAGTTGTCTAATTTTATCAATTAGCAAGTGATAAGACAACATAAAGTGATTGACATACATGATGTTGATGTTATGCTCTGTTTGATACGGTAGAAAGTTGAAATGATGAAAAATTAGAGGGATAAATAAAATATCACATTTAATAAGGAAGGGTAAAAAAATAGATGAATTAATTTTTTTTTCAATTCATCAAAATCAATCCCTCAAATTCGAAAAGAAAGTGAATGAAAAATTAATTATTTGTGTTGAGATATATTTTATTTGTCTACTAGTAAACATGACAGGGTTGAGTAGCATGTAGGAGATGAGTTTCATTTGGTCGGCAATTTTTTTTTTAAGTGAGATGAAATGTGGGCCATTAGATCCAATTGGAAGAATTAGATAAACTCTAGACTGTTGAGTGGAAATTAGAATGAATCTGAACCGTCATTGTGCTTTTCTAAATAAATTTAAATTAAATTAAATTTCAAAGTGAGAAAAGATTCAAATTGAGTTCTATCTTATTATTATGGATATATTATGCATACATTAATTTCATATAAAAATACAATTATAAAAAAAAAATATATATATAAAACTTGAAAATAAAAATAAAAAATAAATATTTTAAATTAAAATAAATATTTTTTTCATCTTAACTAGGGGTAAAAATTTTCGATTTAACACGATAACACGACACAAATTTTATGACACGAATTTGATTATAACTTGACACAAACTTGAAAATGACTTGACACGTGAACAAGAAATATAAAATGCTCATAATTTTATGACTCAATACGTATCTGACACGACACGACTCAATTGTCACTTCTAATCTTAGTCAGAAAAAAAAAATTAGTCATTTTTATTTTTCATCCATCCGACAAAATACAAAACAAGGAAATTGTATCATTCCTACTTTCTATTCTTAAAAGATAGAAAATGTATTGCTCTTACATTTTATCTTTTTTGTTTTTTTTATCTTTCCAACCAAACGGAATATTAAGTTTTTTTTATTTTTCCAACCAAACAGAATATTAAGGAATATAAAAAACTACATAAAAAAAAACATACTTTACGGGTAGAAATTTATATGTCATACTTCTACTACAACGTTGAGTTTGTACTAATTAATTTATGTACTCTGGGGATCGAGGGTAGCTTTGTGCCTAATAGTGTTTTTGCCTTTTGTACATATAAATTGAACTCTTCGCGTAACACAAGAACAGTACTCCTACGGAGGACAAATAATTAGATGCTGACTCATTTAAAAGACGTTTGTCCAGCCTGCATGCATTAAACAATTCCACGTCAGATTTGCAGTATTACCGCCCTCCTTAAATGTTATTCTTCTCCCCACGAGAGAGAGAGAGAGTTAAGATCCGAAGAGTGAGGAATAGCACATAGACTTGAGAGCTTTGGAAGACATGGGTGAAGTAAGTGCATTTCTCAGACGACCTAAGCTTTCTTTGTTGTCTGTCAGGCTTAATATTAATGAGCTTTGTATGTTGTTTTTGGNGTGAGGAATAGCACATAGACTTGAGAGCTTTGGAAGACATGGGTGAAGTAAGTGCAGTTCTCAGACGACCTAAGCTTTCTTTGTTGTCTGTCAGGCTTAATATTAATGAGCTTTGTATGTTGTTTTTGGCCAAAATGAAAAAGTATCACTCTTGATGTTCTAACTAATTTTTTGTGCTCTCAAAGGAGAAGAAAGAGGAAGGTAACAAGGAGAAGCAAGAAGGAGGTCAAGAAGAGAAGAAAGAAGAGGCCCAAGAGATGGTGCTCAAGGTTGATATGCATTGTGAGGCTTGCGCCAGAAAGGTTGCAAGAGCCTTGAGAGGATTTCAAGGTCATTAATTTTCTCCCACGTTTGGATTCTAGTAACGCCTATACAACTGATCAAGCTTTTGCCTTTCTGACTGTTCTCTCTGTGTGTGTGCACAGTTGATATGTGTCACTGTATTTGTGTTTGTGTGTGTGAGAGAGAGAGAGAGGTGCGAGGGACTGGCGTGGATGGCCTTTTATAACCACGACACTGTTGAGTATGTTTATATTTAAGGTAATATTATTCGATCTAATTTATTGATATAATTTGTTAATATAATTTATTATAATTNTTTTGCCTTTCTGACTGTTCTCTCTGTGTGTGTGCACAGTTGATATGTGTCACTGTATTTGTGTTTGTGTGTGTGTGTGTGAGAGAGAGAGGTGCGAGGGACTGGCGTGGATGGCCTTTTAGAACCACGACACTGTTGAGTATGTTTATATTTAAGGTAATATTATTCGACCTAATTTATTGATATAATTTGTTAATATAATTTATTATAACTTTTGAATTGACTATGAACTTCATCAAAATTAGGTTAAATTTTTAAGGCTAAATAATATTATCCTTATATGATACACTAGGGATAACTCTTGTTTAAAATTACAGTATAATGTGAAAAATTTTAAAAGAGATGTTGATGATTGTCTATTTGAGACTNCGACCTAATTTATTGATATAATTTGTTAATATAATTTATTATAACTTTTGAATTGACTATGAACTTCATCAAAATTAGGTTAAATTTTTAAGGCTAAATAATATTATCCTTATATGATACACTAGGGATAACTCTTGTTTAAAATTACAGTATAATGTAAAAAATTTTGAAAGAGATGTTGATGACTGTCTATTTGAGATTTTTCAATAGACTTATTGAAGTCTGCTCTATTTTATATTATAAATTTATAATAAAAGCTTGGCGAAATACCTCACAATTTATATTTCATGTTTTCATCTGAACAATTATTTCTTTAAGTATTTTGGTCATAAATCTGGCTGATAGCCTTCAGAATATTTTCAACATTTACTGCTTCTGCTAGTTTTTTTGTGTGCGCATATTTAAAATCCTCACAATAAAATATGACTAGCGCAAAAAAAAAAAATAATTATCCTAATAAAAGGTGATGGAATTTTGTCTCGTGTATTGGTCTCATTACTTTTGGATGCTTTTATAGCAGGAGTGGAGGATGTAATGGCGGATTCCAAGGCCAGTAAGGTGGTGGTTAAAGGCAAGACGGCAGACCCTACAAAGGTAATCGAGAGGATCCAAAGGAAAAGTGGCCGAAAAGTGGAGATCATTTCACCTTTACCCAAGCCACTCGAGGAGGATAATAAGGAAGAAAATAAAGAACCCAAAGATGAGAAGAAAGAGGAGGTGAGGTACTCTTTACGGTAGTGACCTTTGGAAAATTAGAGAAAGAATACTGATGATCATGATTGTGTGTGTGTGTTTGCATGGGTGACTAATAGAGAGCAGAAAAAAATGTTGAGTGTGAGCAAGGGCAGAGGGAGGCATGGCCAGGGTGGGCAAGGCCCCTTCAATTTTTTTTTTTTTATATTAGTGAGGTATATATATTATATATTTGTATAATATATTATTTGTGTCCACCCAAAATCTAAGATAAAAATGTTAGATCCACATTATTTACTCAAAAGAATTAAAAATTAATTTCATTTAAAACAAAAAAATTTGAGCTCACCACCATTTACCAAAACTAATTAAAAAATCAAAATTTTGACTTATCATAATCCACCCAAATCTATTAAAAAAATAAAACTTTTAACCCACCATTAAAAAACAATTTTTGGCTCACTTGACAGACATGAGTAACACATATCTTATTAGTTATCTTTTTTTTTTCTCTCTCTATCTCACTCACTCATAGCTGTCCAACCAGAAGAAATAGAGTAAAACTCCTTCCTTAGTTCCTTAGGTTTTTTTGTCGTTCCTTGCACAATTGATGAGTTTAGTAGAGAGCATGACTGAAACCAACATATGCTAAGGGGGGGGGGGGCACATGTCCACCCTCAATTTTTTTTTCTTAACATTACCTATATGTATTTCAAATATTTCTTCAATATTTTTAATTATGCCCACCCTATTTTTTTGGTACATCAATTAGTGTACATTTATATCAAATAAATATGAATTTTTTGACACATTTTGGACATGTTATGTACCTATCTAGATAAATTTTGAATATACTAGAATCATTTTATATTTTTTAAGACTTAAAAAGATATCATATATATATTCGCTAGTTTACTTGTGATTTTAACATTTATTTTGTTAATTATGGTAGAAATTATAAAGTGCACATTGAACAACATAATTGATCAATCAAATGAATTATAAATACCAAAGTGATAATATGATGGTGTATATAAAGAATAATAAAGTTGTTATGCAATAATTTCAAAGTATCAAAATTCATCGGAATCAATTGTAAATGATTTTAATTAGCGTATATTTTGTAAAAAAAATATTGGTGACGTTTGTCTATGCTAAGCTTCCCAAATTTTGATATGTTGGGTTTAATGAACTTTTAAGTATTAAATAGGATCTAATTAAATATAAATTATTGCCCTATTTCAATTAATTGTAAAAAAAAAAAAATTAGTTTGTTGAAATGTTTGTGCTCACCTTGACAGACATGACTTTCTGGCTCTGCTCCTAGTGTGAGACGGTGGCGATTATACCCACCACTAACCCCCACCATATGTAATTCTATTAAATTTGTGATTGCTGTTTGTACGCTGAAGTGAAAACAACAAAGCAAGTTTTTTTTTTGATCGAAAGGGAAGATATACCCACAGCGACTGGCACATGTTACAAGGCGAAAGAGATGACTCATGATCCTGTAGTCTGCAGAGTTCTTGACCCCACTACTCTGAGAAATTTTTCAATGGGTTTAACACTCCACAGTCACAGGACTCATCTCAACTTAGCCACACAAACAAAATATTTCAATGTGGTTCAATGACCAAATTAAAGTTTAGTGCGGCAAAAAGTTGTCTATTAATTCACAAAAATAGATCTTGTCATAACAGTAATGTTATTTATCTTGACTAGAGCATTACCAGTACTGTTGTGTACATCGATATGACCCTCTCCTAATCCTAACATAACCAAGCCCTCGTGCACTAAATTTCTCTTTTTGTTTAGAAAGTTATCTATAGAGTCAGCATTTAGATATGATTGAATAAATCAAGTAATCCTTGTATGTTCTTTCACTCCTGGCAGCCTCCTGCTGTTGTAACAGTTGTGTTGAAAGTTGGGATGCACTGTGAAGCATGTGCTCAAGTTTTGCAGAAGAGAATCCGAAAAGTCAAAGGTATATATAGCTCTTAACTACCAATAGTTGGATCAAATACAATGGAATCCTGCTTGAATTATGAAGTGGATTGGATTCAGATAGTTTCTTGCCTTCAATAATCTGGATTACCCCAGAAAAGGGTTCCATTTTTGTGAACAAAACTAAAGAGTTCAAGACAGTAATAATGTATTGGTGGAATGGTGCATTTAAAATTTTAACTTGAATATAACACATTTATCCCACCTTTAAATTTCAAATTCCCCATTGTCAAATTTCACACGAATAGTCCATTATCTGTTTTTTTCGTTTTTTAGACTGAGTTTGTATAGCTAATAAACTAGGTGAGTTGTTCATTAATGAAGGCATTTGGTTTATGCCCTTTAGTTCTACAAGTAGCTTAATTCAATATGACTCTTCACCCGTAATGTCCACTAGAATGATGTTTAGTGATTGATTACTGGGAGAGATGCTCTTTCCTCAGAAATAATGCAGAAATGAAGGAAGTGCTTATTCTTCATTGTTAGGTACTGAATCATTGTAGTGACTAGTGAGGGCATGCTTTCAACTAAACCTAATCACGATTTCTTCAATTAAAAAGAGGTGCATTTAAATTTTTTGCTTGATGAGAGACAACAGCATGCATAAATTTTTTGTTNTAGTGAGGGCATGCTTTCAACTAAACCTAATCACGATTTCTTCAATTAAAAAGAGGCGCATTTAAATTTTTTGCTTGATGAGAGACAACAGCATGCATAAATTTTTTGCTTGAAATTCACTGTGAATATGTTGGAATATATTGCAGGTGTAGAATCTGTGACAACAGACCTAGCAAATGATCAAGTTGTTGTGAAAGGTATCATCGATCCAGAAAAGCTGGTCAGTGATGTGTACAAGAGAACCAGAAAGCAAGCTTCCATTGTGAAGGATGAAGAAAAGAAGGAAGAAGAGAAAAAGGAAGAAGAGAAGAAAGAAGAAGAGAAAAAGGCTGAGAAAGAAGGAGAAAAGAAAGAAGGTGAAGAAGGAAAGGGAGAAGAGGATAACAAGATTGACATCAAGAAAAGCGAATATTGGCCTGCAAAGTACTTTGTGGATTACACTTATCCCCCTCAAATTTTCAGTGATGAGAATCCACATGCTTGCTCTGTTATGTAGCTGATGACTCTTACCTCTGAAGTATTTTAGTTTGCCACATATGCGATTTCCAGGCGTTACTATATGCTAGTTATAAATGAGTGTGCTGGCAATCGAGGGTTTATTCCTTCTGTGGCATTGTTAAACAATTCAATCTTCTGTTTCTGGGGATATGATGTATGTAGATACACAAAACATGGATAAATATTTAAGTCTGCAGGAGTTTTACGTTTTGGCCTTTTTTAGTAGAGCAAATTGTTGCTTGTTGAGTTTATGGTTTCTAAGTCACTTCACGAGTTCCTAATCTCTTGGAATTGAGGTAAATATCACTTCGAAAGGTTACCTCTGTGAATTTAAGTGTTATTTCCCAGAATTCATGAAGTGGCTGAGAACTTATAGCTCGTTCTTTTCTGCGAAAGCTGGTATAAGTTTTAGCTGTTTGAAAAGAACTGTTCTTTCATATCTTCACTTTACACACTGATTTAACTTTGGCACTTACAGCCATCTTGCATGTTTCACTTCATTTGCATTTCATCAACCGCTTAGTGATCAAAACTGTTGCTTAAAAATTATTTTCAATGTGCATAACTGCATGCGATGGGTTGGCCTACGAATTCCCTTGGCGCTGATTAAAATGATCCCCCCCTCTGGTGAGCCATAACTCTACTGCAGGTAATGTACACCCATTCCTTGCCATTCTTTTTCAACCCTTTGTTGTATTGTTCAACCATAAAGGTCTTTGTGCAACTATTGATGTAGACTTTATGCGGACATAGATTGTGTTTTTATTCAAGGTTCATAATCCATTCTGAAGTGGAAGTGACAGAAAAATGATTAAAGCAATTGACGTATTCATTAATGTTCACACTTCACATAGCCAATGCAACACCTTGATTTATATTTGATTGGATAATCAGCCTTCTGTTCTTTTAAGGAACTCGTAATTGACCTATTCAACTTATTGATTGGATAATCTGCCATCTTTCTTTTCCTTATTTTTTTTCATGTAGGCTAATTGAGATATATATGAATTCAGTTCTTGATAGACCTTGCAGCACTACCTTCTTTTTCCTTTTTGCATTTCATTCAGATCCCTTGATTTTGTTGAGAGGACCTGACCTAAGGAGACTCCAAAAGTCAATGATGCCCATCACCATACACACACTCTTTGGCTAGGCCCCAACTAGCTGAAGCATCAGGTTTGCTTGATGGTAAATCTGTGATCGAGATGAAGTCAAGCTAAATATGCTAAAGGTAGTGGTCCGGGGATCTTTGTCCATTTATATTTGAACCTATTAGATACAGGGACACATTCCACATGTCTTCGTCTCCTCTCAATTGGAGCTTGTCATTCAGCCTTTTGAACAAACTTGGACACGAGTTTAAAAGGTTAAGAAGATGTGGTATATAACTCACATAGAATTTCCCCACAACTCCATATTCGGACCCTCGTTGTCAAACTAAGAAACATTAGAAGAGATCATACTATGTCAGCCACTCATAGAGATGCCCTTGGTCCATAAGCTTATTGCCAATGGTTGGCAAGACCGACCAGAGATGGAACTTTTCCTCCCCCACGCCACGAGCAGATGTAGAAATGTACAGCAATGGTATGATATTTAATACTGCNGCCAATGGTTGGCAAGACCGACCAGAGATGGAACTTTTCCTCCCCCACGCCACGAGCAGATGTAGAAATGTACAGCAATGGTATGATATGTAATACTGCAATCAGTTTTCAGTTGGTTGAATCTACAGTGTGTCAACCCTGCTAGGTATTGCAACTAAATCATTTTTGGTATGATCAAAATCCTGCCAAATTTTCTTCTTATGGTGTTAACTTCATGTTACTAAACCATATTGCTTATTCAAGTCAAAGTGCGACGCATTTCTGAAAAAAGGAAAGGGTGCTTCAATCTCCTAACATGTTTCCAATTAACCTTCCTACCCCTTTATCACCACTAAATTTATCAATGGACATGCACTCGAAATTTAATTATGCATGTGATGGTTCATGAATTTCTCAAAATTTTAATACATTTTAAAGTCAAACGAACGAGAGGAATTAGAACTTGGATTGTGTATGTCGCCATAGGCGACACCTTGCCATTAGAAGTTTCGACTAGAACTAAAATTCTCACCCCTAAGTAAACGGAAATTGATATAATTGGATCAGAGCAATATTAATGTAGTATTTGGATTCTTAAAATAGCAGTGGGAATGCAAGCTGGGCAGTCTGTGTCTGGCATAATATAGTTGCCTGCACTTGTGGCTTTTGGATAAGAAATTTGAGGGGGACTGGCGAGCCCACTTACCTTTGGTTGGTTGTGGTCATGGTAGATGCAAGGTCAAATTCTCATGTACAACTCTAATCCATCTCAACAGAAGAGGGAGAGTACTTTCCATCATTCATGTCCTTCCACATGTTATTTTGTGTGGAAATTGATGACAATATTTTACAAGCTACAGCCAACTGAAAACTGAAAATAAAATCTTAGTATATTATTGCTTGCTGGAGGTACCATTACCAACCAGCAATGAACCCTCCAATTCCAATAGTCGTAGGAAATGAAATCTTCCAAATATAAATATCCTCTTAAGCTTCAAATCCTACACTTCCGTGTGAAAATTTCCAAACGGGACTTTAGCAGTGTTGAAGACTCAAACCAGTGGACTGGCTTAGCTGACTGATCAACGCCAATGTTCGCTTAAAGTCCTTTTGGGACCCACCACTAATTGGAAAATGATCGGTTTATAACCTTCCTCCTGGTCCTTCTAGGGGGTGTGGTCATTGACATACTTCGAGTTCCGTAAAGTCAAACTGTAGACCCCACCGCTGAAAAAACTTTTCTCTCTCGCTTTTTTTAGCCGATCCCTTCGTATCCATTTAAAATCAAAAAATAAGTAAAATAGTTATACCAAGGGCGTGAACTCTAATCCGTTAATACGAATTCGATACGAATAATTATAAAATTGACATAATTATTAAATATGCANAACGCCAATGTTCGCTTAAAGTCCTTTTGGGACCCACCACTAATTGGAAAATGATCAGTTTATAACCTTCCTCCTGGTCCTGCTAGGGGGTGTGGTCATTGACATACTTCGAGTTCCGTAAAGTCAAACTGTAGACCCCACTGCTGAAAAAACTTTACTCTCTCTCTTTTTTCAGCCGATCCCCTCGTATCCATTTAAAATCAAAAAATAAGCAAAATAGTTATACCAAGGCCGTGAACTCTAACCCGTTAATACAAATTCGATACGAATAATTATAAAATTGATATAATTATTAAATACGTANAAAAATAAGTAAAATAGTTATACCAAGGGCGTGAACTCTAATCCGTTAATACGAATTCGATACGAATAATTATAAAATTGACATAATTATTAAATATGCATAATAAATAACTTAAACTAATATTTACTATTCAGAACACACTAAATATAATTTTTTTCATAAATCTTCACACGAACACGATAAAAAATAATAATGACACAATACGAATAACACAACATGTTGTTCACACGAACACGCACGTGTGACACCCTTACTAAATACCTATGATAATATATATAAAAACTCATATGTGTGTGTGTGCGAGAGAGAGAGAAAAAAGTGTTTCTAATTTAACGGACTTTATGTGTGAGTCAAGGGAAAAGACCGAGAGAAATGTGTTTGTGATTAAAGGGCTCCATCTAGTGAGTTGAGGGGAAATACCAGTTTAGAATGGGCAAAATTGTATGAATATAGAGTAATGCTATTGTGACAAATCAGGAGAAGACGTATGTGGAAGGAATTTTCATAATTTGGGATAATAGAATGATATTTCTTTGCCATGTGGCAAAGTTATGGGCGTAATGTAAGTGCCTATTCTATTTAAAGTCCCAACCAAGGTCATGGATGTTATTGCCAAGTTCAAAAAGTTTGACTTTGACGCCACGTAAGTGTTGTGTTGGCCTATGTGGCCACCAAACCAACGGCGATGTTAAGGGGCTAAGCCAAACTCGGTGGAAATTTCAAGTAGTTAAAGTAACGGCGTTGGGTGCTCCAATGACGACGTGAGCAGGCTTGGGTCCCCCCATATCACACCTGGAACAAGACATGAGGGTCCCACGGGACAGAACCGGTTGTGGTTTAGTTAAGAGTGAGACGGAAGTGTGTGAGATGTCTCACGGCATGTGGAACTCACACGCTATAAAAAATGTGGCATGGGAACCATCACCGCAACCGCCACCACCTCCTTCGGCCGTTTTCATTTGATACACACCCATCTGAGACATAATAAGAGGTCCCGTCGACAATGAGCCAAGCCACTGTTATGTTAGCAGACTCGTGACACGCCTATTTCATAAACAAAACAAGCACCATCCCACTAAGGGCATTTTAGCAATTTCACTCCCTCTCTCCTTCCCTGCCTGCCTGATATATACCCACCATCAATATATATATCCGAACTAGTTACAGTACAGGTAATAAACAGTACACTGTCAAGCACCAACCTGTTCTTCAAAACTCTACGATGGCGTCAAAGAACGACACCACCTCCACCACGACCCACCACCCTACAGACGCTGGAAACCTGAACGGAGAGCCACCTCAGGAGGACAGGTGTCAGGTGGAAGAGGTGGCTCTGGTGGTCCCGGAAACCGACGACCCCTCACTCCCAGTAATGACGTTTCGAGCTTGGTTTCTTGGTCTAACCTCATGCATAATCTTGATATTCCTCAACACTTTCTTCATCTACCGCACACAACCCTTGACCATCTCTGCCATTCTCATGCAAATATCTGTTCTACCCATTGGAAAGTTCATGGCTTCGACGCTTCCAAACAAAAAGTACAGTGTGTTTGGTGGTCGTTGGAGTTTTAATTTGAATCCTGGTCCTTTCAACATGAAAGAGCATGTTATCATCACGGTGATGGCTAACTGTGGGGTGTCTATTGGTGGTGGTGATGCCTACTCGATTGGGGCCATTACTGTCATGAAGGCTTATTATAAACAGAGCTTGAATTTCTTGTGTGGGCTTATTATTGTTTTAACAACTCAGGTACAGAATTGAGGACTTCCTTATCTCTATTCATTTGGGTGTTTTTCATTTCTGTTAGTTTAGTTTGTTACATAATTCTCTTTTGGCTTTATTTAATTATTTATTCTAAGATCAAACTTACTGGTTATTGTAGTTTACTTTATTCACATTCACACTAGGGAAGATGACGAATGATAAACACAAAGAAAAAAAATATTATTTTCTTTTTTCCTTGAAGAAGAAGGCCATCAGTAGCCTACAATTAACCAATTAATCTTTTTGTTGTTTTTTTTTGGGAGGTGGGGGGTTGCTGATTTATAGAAATAATTTTGATATGCTAATCAGTAGAACATCATGATATAACAGCCCAGCAAAGGAATTTGGGCAGCAATAGAAAGGTGTATCATGTGAATTCGATTGCGATGCATATAATTTGATGTCAATCTTGTAGATCCTGTTGTCCTATTTGCTTCTTGTTTTACTTGATTGTAGATAATAGGGTATGGATGGGCTGGAATGTTGAGGAGGTACCTGGTTGATCCTGTTGAAATGTGGTGGCCTTCAAACCTTGCTCAGGTTTCTCTATTTAGGTTTGTCTTTCTCCTATTCAGAAACTTTCCATAATATTTCCTCAGTATTTTTTGTTCTTTAGTATGTCTTTACACTGCTGGTACTCCAAATTATATCCATGAGAAGTTAAGCTCTGAATATAGTTCAAATGATAATCTGAAAAGAAGTAAAACAAGACATATGAATAAGTAATTGATAATTGATAGTTTGTTTTGTGATCATGTAATTAAGTTTTGCAAGACATTCTTGTTGTAAATGCAAGTGGTAGGTGTTATATGGGTGTCTACTATTTCCCCTTTTCAATTATTTTAGTATATTTTTGCTTAAAGTTACCTTTTCTATAATTTTCATTTTCTTTGTGTTCTCTTTTTTTTCCTTGTATATTTCAGAAATCTCAGAGCAAAGAGTGTCAATATTCTTTGGGGTTATATCATTATGGGGGAAAGCAAGGGATTCACATGAAACTTTTCATGCCAAAGTTCACTGGCTGAGAAGTGGCCTCATCTGCTTTCCAGCTTAGTGGGTTAATATTCTCTTTCTGGACACCATAACATACACATTAAATTTATAAAAACGCGATAGGAAATTCTATCTTAAGAAGAATTCAGGAAGAACATGTATAAAGCGAATCAAACCTATGCTACTACTCTAATTCAAGCAACCTTTTGAATAAGCATACCCAGTTTCAGATTTTACGTTAACTTCTTGATTTATGCCCTCATGGGAATTTTGAACTTGTTGACTTTGGCATTACAGGGCATTGCATGAAAAAGAACCAAAAACAAGAGGCATGACAAGGATGCAATTCTTTCTTGTTTTCCTGGCTGCAAGTTTCGTCTATTACACATTTCCGGGCTATCTGTTCCCAATTCTGACATTCTTCTCATGGGTCTGTTGGGCGTGGCCTCACAGTATCACAGCTCAGCAAATTGGCTCTGGGTACCATGGACTCGGGGTGGGTGCCTTCACTCTCGATTGGGCAGGGATTTCAGCTTATCATGGCAGCCCATTGGTGACACCTTGGTCTTCCATTCTCAATATTGGGATTGGCTTTTTTATCTTTGTCTACATAATTGTACCTCTGTGCTACTGGAAATTCAATACTTTTGATGCCCGGAAATTCCCCATATTTTCTAGTCAGCTGTTCACTTCTACTGGGCAGAAATATGATACGGACAAGATCTTGACTCCGCAATACGATCTTAACATTACTGCTTATGACAGTTATGGAAAGCTATATCTTAGTCCTTTGTTTGCGCTCTCAATTGGATCAGGATTCGCAAGATTTTCGGCAATACTCACACATGTAGCACTGTTTCATGGCAGGTAGTCTGCTTCCTAAGTTTGTCAGGTGTGAATACCAGATATGTTTAAAATAATTGTCATTAACTTGTAATTATCTTTCTCTGGCCAATATCTTACTAGCTCACAAAATAAGATTAGTCTGTGGTCATTGTTTACACAGCCAGTGTAGGAGCAAAAAAGAAATATATGAATTGTGAAAAACGTGGCTCAATGCACGAGACTCCTGGCATTGCTGGGCCTGGGCATAGAAGTGTGAGCAGGTCATGATGCTAGGTGATAGTTCTTAAAATGAAGTTAACGTTTTCCAAAAGTACAAGATTTCTTTTCAACAATTTAGAGGAAGTATTCTTGCGGGAAAGAGAGCCCGCATAAATCTGAATTTGTCTTGTCTGTTAAATATGCCCTCCTTGAGCACAAATGTCTCTTGGTTATTCCATAATTGACCAAATTATGTTTGGTTTGCATTGTCTAGTGATATTTGGAAGCAGAGCAAGTCTGCAGTAAAGAACATTAATTTGGATATCCATGCAAAATTGATGAAAAGTTACAAAGGAGTGCCTCAATGGTGGTACCTCATTTTGTTGATAGGGAGCATTGCCCTATCACTCATAATGTCTTTTGTGTGGAAAGAAGATGTGCAGCTGCCATGGTGGGCGATGCTTTTTGCATTTGCTTTGGCTTGGATTATCACCCTACCTATCGGGATCATTCAAGCAACCACTAACCAGGTAATTTATTCAATCTTCAGTTTTCTGGATTCTCTCCTCTGCTTTACCTTCCCTTAATGCAGTAAACTAATTAGGCCAATTGCAGATTCTATCTTAATGTCCTCATGTTCTTGATACTATTATGCAGCAACCTGGGTATGACATAATTGCACAGTTCATAATTGGGTATATCCTTCCTGGGAAACCCATTGCAAACTTGATTTTCAAGATGTATGGTCGAATCAGCACCATTCATGCTCTCTCTTTCTTAGCAGACCTTAAACTTGGGCACTACATGAAAATTCCACCACGGAGCATGTACACAGCTCAGGTATTCGCTGAAAAAAAACTTTGCATTAAACCATTTGAAATTTCATCCTTGAATTATGATATTAGCATCTGCCTTTTTTCTTTTCTTTCCTCCAGCTGGTGGGGACACTAGTTGCTGGAACAGTCAACCTTGCAGTTGCATGGTGGATGTTGGGGAGCATTGAGAACATTTGTGATGTCCAAGCACTTCATCCTGAGAGCCCATGGACATGCCCTAAATTCCGAGTCACATTTGATTCTTCCGTTATATGGGGCCTAATTGGACCAGAACGGCTGTTTGGACCAAGAACGTTGTACAGGAACTTGGTATGGTTATTCCTTGTAGGAGCTGTTTTGCCAGTACCTGTTTGGATAATGAGCAAAATCTACCCTGAAAAGAAATGGATTCCCTTGATTAACATACCAGTTATATCTTACGGCTTTGCTGGAATGCCGCCAGCAACTCCCACTAATATTGCTAGTTGGCTTATTACTGGAACCATCTTCAATTACTTTGTGTTTAAGTACCGGAAAGGATGGTGGCAGAGATATAACTACGTGCTGTCTGCGGCATTGGATGCTGGCACAGCTTTCATGGGTGTTCTATTGTTCTTCGCTTTGCAGAATGAGGGCAAAATTTTGAAGTGGTGGGGATCGGAGCCTGACCATTGTCCCTTGGCATCATGCCCTACGGCACCAGGGATTCTGGCTAAAGGGTGTCCAGTTTTCAAGTAGTCACATGGCCATGTAAACTGAAAGCCTGTGTAAACATTCAAAGCCAGGTTAAAAAGGGGGGCGTTTTACAAACACAAGCCCAGAGATGTTAGAGCTGGTTATAGAAACGTTGCTACAAAATATGAACAACCATTTGCTTTGCATCATTGTAATTTTAAATGCTGGTTTACACATTGACAGTAATTTTGCTGCTCCATATGCAATTTATGGCTGTTGGTACTGTATTCTGTTGCTAGAATAGAACCATTTACTATGCATAAGCTGTCCCTAAAACATAGACCAACAAAAAAAATGGTCCAAGCACCATAGTAATCCCATGAATGAGTCGTAAGCGATATTTTATCTCCTCCATGGGAAGAGACATCAACTATGGGAAAGAAACTGAATGTGGGGGTAAAAGGACCTTGCACAGGATGTTTGCTTCTAATTTGAATATAAACAATTCTCTCATGATGCCGGAAACTCATAGAAGTGCCGAAAAATATAATTAATCTAAACCTGTATCAATCTGAAACAAAAACATCTTTACACTTACACGGAAGAACATTCTAGGAATGGGACATGACATCACCCAAAAAAACTCGTTACAAAAGAAATAACCTTTTTTGGATGGGCACGAAGGCAGTTGCAAGGATATTCACCATTATTTCATAGGCACCCAAGAAATCCTTGTACTTCCTTTCAGTATTTTTTGAGGCAGAGCTCAAGGCTTCCAAATCTGAGCCCAGGTAACTGAAAGGGATGATCCAACCTCAAGTTCACACAAAAAAAAAAAAGGAGGGGGGGGGGGGGGGG